ACTTTGAAAATCATTTCATTCATCAAAATTTTTCAAATTTAACTCTTTAGCTTTATTCATTGCTATCTATTAAAGTGTTAGTCTACTTATCTTCTTGTACTCAACTTTGAATTTATCATTCATTAAGAAGAGAAGATTTCATTTGTAAATTTATTTGAATTGTGGGCCGTGTTGAGGTCCCGAAAAGCTCAGTGATCATTGTTTGTAAGTCACCGAAAGTTTTGTAAATGGTTGGATTGCACCATAAGTCAATCTATATAGTGAAAAATGCTTTGCTCGTGACGGAGAACTCGGTAACGGGAAACGTAGATCGTGTTTGGGATCGAACCTCCATAACTACATTTTACTTACCGTATTTATATTGCTCAAATTACCCGTGCTTAATTATCTTTGTATATGTGCATATTTGTTGAATTGTTATAATTGTTAGTATATTATTTTAAGACTTGAATTTATTTTAGAAAAAGTTTTAAAAACCAATTCACTTCCTCTTGGTTAGCTATTCTTGGACTCTCAAATAGATGTTTTGAATTTAAGTCTCACCCTGTTAAAAAATTATGCACGTATGAAGATAGACTTGCAAGTAATAACACGCTTAAGCTTAGAAACAAGGTGGTTGTGCAAGAGCCACGTAGTATTAGAAATTTAGAATACAGATAATCTGTGAGTGTGCTAACGTGGGCTCTTACATCAGCAGCTAAAAGCCAAATTAGAAGCATCCTAGCAATACTACTTTGAGTAACAAGTGGAGCTGCGGAGGCGACGTAGACTATATGACAACTAGCCGATGTTTAACAACTAAAGTTTTAACTAGGTGGTTCAATATGGTATTGAAAATGATAGATGTTCTGAATCTAAGTCCGTCCTGTTAAAAAGTATGCATGTAAGAAGATTTTGACTAAAACTTTTATCTGACTTGCAAGTAATAACATACTCAAGCTTAAAGACGAGAAGATTCAACAAGAGCCACATGATATTAATATTAGAATATAGGATAATCTCTAATATGCTAATGTGGGCTCTTACATCAGCTGCTAAAAGCCAAACTAGAAGCATCCTAGCAGCACTATTTTAAGCCTCCTGATGTACCCGTAGCAGAGGCAAGGCCATTCAGTAGCTAAGCCTATCCAGTATCTCCAATGGCTATCCATGAACAAAAACTTCACTTTCTATTACTTCCTTTCATGGCCCAAGGCCATA